TCAGGGTCTGCTGGCACGAGTGCTTGTAGCCTTGCAACTGGCACAAACTGTGTAGCCAGCCCGTGGCCCTTTAAGGGCTCCGTGGCCGGGAGGGGGGCAATAGAGTTTCCCTGGTGTTGGCCAGAGTGGCCACCAGGGAAACCTGGGGAGGGCTAGCCTCCCACTAGTTCGAATTAAGGGGCTACACACCCCTTAATTTGAACTAGTAAGTTCGAACTAGGCTTAGTCCTCGTAGAATGAGGTTTACCTAGTTCGAACTAAGCGCTCCGCTAGTTTGAATTAAGTTCGAACTAGCGGAGCGCTTTTGTAACGCCTATCAAAGTTAATTCGAACTAACGTCCGTTAGTTCGAATTAACTTTGTAGTGTAGACATACCCTGAGTTATTCTGTCTTCAGAGCAGGGATTGAATAATAGACAGTGAATAAAGAATTGGGGCTACATATTGAACAAGGAGAAGAAAACAAACTATTGAGTAAATGATCATTAATTGAACATTGTACACTGAATAAGGACAAATGCAAAGTACTCCACTTAGGGAGGAACGTTCAGTTTCACACTTACAGAATGGGAAATGATTGTCTAGGAAGAAGTACTGCAGAAAGGGATCTAGGGGTCATAGTGCGCCACAAGCTAAATATGAGTCAACAATGTGACACTATTGCAAAAAAAGAAAACATGATTCTGAGATGCATTAACAGGAGTGTTGTGAACAAGACATGAAAAGTGTTGTGAGTGTAATTCTTCCGCTCTATACTGCACTGATTAGGCTACAACTGGAATATTGTGTCCAGTTCTGGGCATTACATTTCAGGAAAGAGGTGGAGAAACTGGAGAGGATCCAGAGAAGAGAGCAAAAATGATTAAAAGTCTTGAAAACATGACCTATGAGGGAAGACTGAAATAACTGGATTTGTTTAGTTTGGAAAAGAGAAGACTGAGAAGGGACTGATAGTAGCTTTCAAATACCTAAAAAGGTGTTACAAAGAGAAGGGAGAAAACTTATTCTCCTTAACATCTGGTGATAGGACAAGAAGCAATGGGCTTAAATTGAAGTAAGGGAGGTTTAGGTTGGATATTAGGAAAAACTTTGTAACTGTCAGGATGGTTAAGCACTGGAATAAATTGCCTAGAGAGATTGTAGAATCTTTATTATTGGAGTTATTTAACAGCAGGTTAGATAAACATCTATCAGAGATGATCTATGGTGGTTGGTCCTGCCATGAGGGCTAGGGTTGGACTTGATGGCGTCTCGAGGTTCCTTCTAGTTCTAGTATTCTATGATTCTATGATTCTGTGGGTACATCCAAGGATACTTCATTGCTTGTACTACAACTTCTGTTCAGTTCAGTTGGATGCAGTGCCAGGTCTAAGATGCTTGTCCTTAGGCATCTTCTTTCAGAAGACACAATCTCACCATTCATGAGGTGGAGGGATGCTGAAAATGTTTTCTGCCCTAGCCAGCAAAATGTCTTGGGCTCCTCCGGCCGTAGCTCTTTAAAGGGGATAATGTATTCTGCTTGCAGTACTGTCAAAGTTACAGCTTTGCCTTATGTGCAACAAAATCACCTGAATGTAGGAGAATGGGTTCCCCAGAATTTTGTCTATGGCTTGCTTTATCATAGCACTGGAAAAGACCTCAAGAAGTCATCAAGTCCAGTCCTCTGCTCTTATGGCAGGACTAAGTATTATCTAGAAATGTAGAGGTAATTTTCCTTTTAAAACGGAGACCTGAGAGTACTGGAGGAATTTCAAAAGGAATATTTACCATGTACACCTCTGGCTTAAAAATAACATACTATGGGCTTCAGTCTAATACAATAAATAACAGATAATAGTTGAGACAGAGACCAAGGCCTGCAGCTCCCCTTTCTCAACCACTCTGCAATCCCATTGCTGTCTGCATTAAACGTTTTCCTCAAAATTGGCATCTACCATGATGCCTATGCAACATGATGCCTATTCATGATGACTAAGAACAGTTGGGTTGATAATAACTGATGTTGAGCCTTCCTATATAACTGAACAGTACTATGCTCTTTTTGGTTGCCACCATATTTCATATTAATTAATATGACAAATAACAGAAATTAAGAATATTAGCTGGTACTATTCAGGGATTCCCCATCCCCAAAATCTCTTAGGTACTTCTAAAGCCTCCACTAATGGTGTTTTGTCACCTCTCAATCCTTAATGTTTATCTTCACAGTACCCCTGTGAGGCAAGGTAGTCCTATTGTCCCTGTTTTACTGAGGGGGAACTGAAACCTAGAGACTAAGAAACTTGTTCCAGGTCATACAGAAGGGCTGTAGCGGAGCAGAGAATTGAATCCAGGCCTCTCGGGGCCTAGGCCGGTGCTCAAAGCACTAGACCACCCTTCCACCACTCTGCATGGCATCACTTCATGTGGACATCTCAGTAACATATTTCTCTGATATGTCCGTTCCATGGCCTTTAGCTATCTCTTCATACAGATTATATCACCTAAGGAAAACAGTCAGTATGCTAGGCCTTCTAAGATGATATGATCATAATAGTGAAGCAGAGGCATAGATCATCAAAGCAGAGTTTTGACTGCTACTGTATGAAATGTATTAAAGCCAAAATCCCAAAGGAAAAAAATGTGAAAAGAAAGAGGTCAGTAAGCTTGTGTCCCACCCCATCCTCATTCACATAGAAAGAATGAAAGATGCCACAACATCCTCTATTATGCAATGGAGAAGCATTTTCCTAGTGTTATCCAAATGAGTAAGGCGTTCCTCACCTACTCCCTTATTGACTGACTGATCCCCAGGCAGCCTCTGAGGGTAAAGCATGCTTTATCGTACCTCATGTTTTATAACCTGTCACTATCACATCAGCAGCATGGGAGAAACCAACCTCAAAGGCACATTCAAAGATTTGGTTGTAGTGACTCTGATAGTGGAGCAGTCTCCTGGGCAGCTAGTTTCCTGTTATTTTTCCATCATTACCAGAGCCTGGAAGGGTAACACCTCCAACTGGGCTGCTTTTCACTGAATGAATGGAGCAACTGAATCATATTAATGTCAACAGGAACTTTAAAAAAAAGGGTTCAGACAGCTTCTTCGTCTAATGTGAGCTAAAACTCTTCTTGTTTTCACAGACTGCTAGCATTCTGGTTGTAGCTGAGGCTAAATCTTCTGGAATCTACAGCTGCGTGGCTTCCAATAAAGTAGGAAATGTTGAAAGAAACATTAGCTTTTATGTAACAGGTAAGATCCAATCCATTCAGTAACTAAATATACACCCTGGTTAGAAAGTCGTATTTGTTAGAATGTGTCATGTGGCTTACAGTGAAAAATATTACATTAGTTAACATCTGCCTCCATTACAATAAATATCACACCTAGGGGAAATATACACCACATAAAGTTCTGCAGCACCATAGAGAGTAACAAAAAATGTAGATGCTATCATGAGCTCTTGTAAACAAAACCCACTTCTTCAGATGAATGGAGTAAGGAGTGCAGGGTACATTTGCTCCTTACTCCATTCATCTGAAGAAGTGGGTTTTGTTTACAAGAGCTCATGATAGCATCTACATTTTTTGTTACTCTCTATGGTGCTGCAGAACTTTATGTGGTGTATATTTCCCCTAGGTGTGATATTTATTGTAATGGAGGCAGATGTTAACTAATGTAATATTTTTCACTGCCTCTATGGTGAGTTTCTACTGGACTGCTGGGACTTGGCTGCTAAAAAGGGTATTAGCAGTACAGGGTGATGAATAACAATGATCCATCAATGGGCAGATGCACATTGCTCATGGAAATAATGGTCTCTTGCTATGATTTTTTCTAGTATTTGATGGCTTGTTGTTGGCACACGTTATCTTACTTTATCATTTGAAAACCCCCTATCAGGCAGCAACAGGTGTGATCATACTGTGAATCAGCTTCTGCAAACTATGGCCTGAGCATGCAGCATGTACCCTAGAAGCAGAACTCTGTGCCTGCAAAGAGCCCCATTGAAGTCGAGATTCAGCACAGGCATAGGTATCTGCCTCCTCCAGGAACATGTTTGCAGGACCAGGGTCGGTGGATCACATCTTATCTTTTTGTAGATGTCTCTCTCATTGACACCAATGAGTATTTTGTACACAGATGGTAGGACCTGATGTATTGTACTACCCCCTTTCGAGGAAAATACCATTGTATGATATAGGCCCTATTCCTTCAAGTCTTACACATGTGTCTAACTGTGTACGTGAATAATTCTAGGAATTTCAATGGTGTAACATCACAAAAGTGTATAAGTCTTTTCAGAAACAGGGCTGTAATGAGTAGATGCTGTGAGGTCAACGGCTAAGGAAATAAGTGAGAACTCACTAGCAATAGTCAGTAGGCAATTTATCGACTATTACGTATGAAGGTCACCTTGCAAAAAAGCCACTTTCTGGTTGAAGGTTTTGTGTTAGCTGTGGCACCATGCATTTACCAAGTATAGACACACTTGTTGCTAGAGTTACCATAATGATCCTGTTGAGCCTTGAGAAAGATTCCAGTGAAAGAAAATGAGTTTTAATAATTTAATATCAAGTACTTTAGAAACCACAGGCTAATCTGTCTTAACACTTTAATACAAAAAATAAGAAACCTGACATAACCTCACAGCTGAAAAAGGACACACTTTCAATTAAGCATGTTTTGTTATTGTTCTTACTCTAATTTTGTAATCTCTTTTGTTGCTGATTTGTTGCCTGTCATTCTGATTAACTTCAATGAAAATAATGTTGGTGCTATACTGCCCTCTGCCCAGTTTTAGGGATTTGGATTTTGAAATGTTCTGATCAGCACTTCCACATTTAGGAACCATTCGCTGTCTGTAAATATACAAGTTCAGTAAGAAAACACCAGAACTTATCATTGGAATGTAAACATAGATAAGTGACACACAGAGAGGTTATTTGTAAAATATGGAAAGGGAAAATATTTACTTGTTCTATTAATAGATATGGCAAGAATATTTGCTGACTAACAGTTCTAGAATAATAGTTTATTTGATTTCAGGCACTAAATTGTGTACATTTCATTGAAAGCTAAAACCTTTATTCAAACAATAAGACTGTGGTCTCCCACAAATTGGTTTGCTAATCAGTCTGTTATTATCTGTACATATGTCGCATACAGACTTTACATACTACCGAGGCCATGAATGGAAGCCTTTTTGTCATCAGTCTGTGTACTGGGACTTGCTTTTTTAATGTGCAAGACATTGAGTTGTGTGCTCTAGCCCTATCTCTTTAAGCACTGGCTCTGTGTGACAGTCTAAGGCCAAGTGAAAAAGGTTTTTTCATGGTCTCATTTATCACCATAATACCTGACTGTTTAACCTCTTCTCTTGCTCTCCCACCTCATTGTCTGATACGAGAGCATGAGGACATACATTGTCATATTTCAGGGTGGGAACTGATTCTTAGGTGGAGTCAGAAAAACCATTGACTCATAGAAATGTAGGACTGGAAGTGACCTTGATAAGATATCCGGTCCACTCCCCTACATAGACTCAGAACTAGGTATTACCTAGATCATCCTTCACTGGTGTTTCTCTAACCTTGTTATTAAAACCCTCCAATGATAGAGAGTCCACAACCTCCCTAGGTAATTCGTCCAGCACTTAGCAACTCTTATAAATAGGATTTCCCCCTAATATCTAACATAAATCTCCCTTGATTCAATTTAATCCTTTTTCTTGTCCTGTCTTCCCCCTCCTTTTTATAATAACCTTTTATATACTTGAAGACTGTTATAGTGTCCCTCTTCACAATTCACTTCTCTAGACTAAATACCTATTTCCAGTCTTTCTTTATAGATCATATTTTCTAGACCTTTGTGTTTTTGATAGCTTTAAAAGACTTACTCCAGTTTGTCCACTTTTTCCCCAAAGCATGGAACCCACAGCTGGGTACTCCAGTTGAGACCTCATCAGTGCTGAGTAGAGCAAAAAGAATGACTTCTTATGTAATATTTACAACACTCCTGCTGATACATCCCAAAATTATGTTTGCTTTTTTTGCAGCAGTGTCACACTGTTGATTCATGTTTAGTTTGTGGTCCACTATGACCCCCCAGATCCCTTTCCACAGTACTCCTTCTTAGACAGTCACTACCCATTTTGTATTTTTTGCAACTGATTATTCCTTCCTAAATGGAATACTTTGCATTTCTCCTTACTGAATTTCATCCTGTATATTTCAGACCATTTCTCCAGTTTGTCAAAATCACTTTGAACTCTAATCCTGTCTTCAAAGAGTTTCCCACCTCTCCCAGCCTGGTATTTGTCCTCAAACTGTATGGCTGTGTCTACACTGGCCGCTTGAATTTGTGCAAGAACACTGACTTTGTAATGTACAAAATCAGTGCTTCTTGCGCAAATACTTTCATGCTCCCGCTCAGGGATAAGCCCTCTTGCGCAAGAATACTTGCGCAAGAAGGCCAGTGTAGACAGGCACCTTAATTTCTTGTGCAAGAAAGCCCAATGGCTAAAATGGCGATCAGAGCTTTCTTGCACAAAAGCTCATCTAGACTGGCACGGATGCTTTTGCGCGAAAGCACTTTTTGCGCAAAAGCATCCTTGCCAATCTAGACGCTCTTTTGCGGAAATACTTTTAATGGAAAAACTTTTCCGTTAAAAGTATTTCCGCAAAATCATGTCAGTCTAGACGCAGCCTAAAAGTATACTCTCTATGCCATTATCCAAATTGTTTATGAAGCTACTGAATAGAACCCAGCCCTCTTCATGATACCATACTTCTCATGGTAGAATGTATAATGGTGGAGAGGGTGGATAGCGATGACTTTTCCCTGTAGGGTTTAGTATTGGTGTCCATTCAAAACTAGGATATTGGAATGGTTGATTTATTGTTTTATGGAAATTGTTCATGGTTTCATTGGTAGCCAGGGTGGACAGGCAAGGTGTGTGTGGGCTGGCTCCATGCCCCGACACTGTGGCAATGGCACATCTCCAGCCCTCAGAGCCGCACAGTGCATGTCCCTGTCTCCCCAAGCAAATCTAAGAGCTGCACAGAGTACTCCGTGCAGGGCTCTTGTGGCAATTTAAAGGGTCCCGAGGCAATTACCCCTTTTGGGTCCCGCCCCCCGTCGTTGGTAGGCCTGTTAGCAGCATCTTTTTTATGTGGGATAGTGAGACTGATATAAACTCAGCTTTCAAATCAGTTTTACACTATGCTTCACTTGTCCTTTGGACTCCCATCATTTCTTGACACTTGAGTTTTGTGACCTATAAACTCCCATTTGTCTACTGACATCTGGTTGCTTTAATTAAACGCAGATTGTGCTAGCTGATGTTTGCACATTGAAATGTGAAGTCAGGCTTGTTCTTCTCTCCCCTCTTACAGTGCTTCAAATTCAAAAGACCAAAATTTTTCATTTGGATTCACACGTGACTCAAGCAATTATGCTCTTTTAGGCTGAGACCATTGTTCTCGCCAAGTAGCATTTTATACTCAAGTCAACTAAGGGACTTTGTGTGTGTGTGTGTATGTGTTTGTTGAAAAACACACTTGGGAAAAAATGACAGTCCAAAAAATGCTGATGGGTGTGAACAGACAGACAGGAGACTGAAAAGGATTTCCTTCTAATTTATTCCAAACAGATACTTCAGGGCTGAGGAGACCACTGGAGATTTGTTTGTTTTTTGTGGGTGGGGCGGGAAGGCTGTTCTCACTTGGTTCTGACTTACACAAAGACTGAAAGTGAGACATGAAAATATCCAGAGTGGGAAAACATGGCCTCTTTTAGGATCAGTAGTTGCCCACCCCAGTAATGAAGGTCAGAAAGAACCCTGAATTTAGAGAAGAGCCCAAGCATAATCTAAGCAGACATTTCTCCACCCTCTCTTATATCCCCGGGTATGTCTACACTACAAAGTTAGTTCGAACTAACGGACGTTAGTTCGAACTAACTTTAATAGGTGCTACACTAGCACTCCGCTAGTTCGAATTTGAATCGAACTAGCGGAGCGCTTAGTTCGAACTAGGTAAACCTCATTTTACGAGGACTAACGCCTAGTTCGAACTAGCTAGTTCGAACTAAGGGCTGTGTAGCCCTTTAGTTCGAACTAGTGGGAGGCTAAGGCTTCCCAGGTTTCCCTGGTGGCCACTCTGGCCAACACCAGGGAAACTCTATGCCCCCCTCCCGGCCCCGGACCCCTTAAAGGGGCACGGGCTGGCTACGGTGCCCGTGCCAGGTGC